ACAGCAGTAGAATACACAGCAGAATTGCCATCTTTAAAATAACAAAGAACCACAACAGATAAACACACACGTGAAAACGTACAGGTAGGCCGAGCGCGAGTAATGTCTTGCCGCACTTGTCGCACATGTACGGCTTCTCACCCGTTTGACGAGCGCCCTCTACGTAGACCTCGACGTAGACCTCGACGTAGGCCTCGACGTAGGCCTCGACGTAGGCCTCGACGTAGGCCTGGGCTGTGGGGGGGGGGGGGGGGTAGCCAGGCTGGCTACCACACTAACTAACTACCACATTAACTACCACATTAACTACAACAATAACTACCACACTAACCACAACAACCACACTGGCAATCACCGCACTACCACACCAACCACCACACTACTACACTAACTACCACACCAACCACAACACCACCACACTAACTACCACACTAACTACCACACTAACTACCACACTAACTACCACACTAACTACCACACTAACTACCACACTAACTACCACACTAACTACCACACTAACGAATACACTAACTACTACACTAACTACCACGCTAACAAGCAGCACTCTTCTCTACTCTCGCCAGCCACACAGCGCCCGCTCTGTAACCCCCTGCACCCGCGAATCTCAATTTAAACACACACACAGCTTACTCACACACACAGCTCACTCACACACACAGCTCACTCACACACAAGCAGCTCATTCTCACACATTCTCACGCACAGCTCACACTCACACAGCTCACACTCACAAGCTTACTCACACGCCGCCATCTTGTGATGACAGACAATGATGAAGCATGGATTGAATGAATGAGGAATGGGTGAAAGCCATATCATGAGAATATGAAGAGGAAAACTAATGTTGGCAGTTATGAGGGGGAGATTAAAGGGGCCGTGGGGTAAGTTAGGGAACGATTTATTGTGAGTTTTGAGTGTGGAGCAGAGGAGAGTATGCAATTGCAATTTTTTAACTTTACTTACCCGTTGGGTGGAATTCTGTGAACCTGTTTTCTTGGATGCCACGTCTTCTGCTAAGGCGCTTCTCATTTTTCACATTTTACTGTTCCGGCAGAATTCCATTCATTTGAATACCTGGATTGTCTGGACACAATCCCCATTCATGTCAATGCTAAATGAGCACCAAATAGTTGAGATTAGAAGACATGGCGGAATATTTTGCAGGGGAGTTGAGAGGAGGTTGACAACGGGAGAGGAGGAGATGCACGTGCAGCGTGGAGACGGTGGCAGGCTTCTGTGACTTGCATTGTTATGTTGGGTGGCTGTCGGAGGTCGCGGACCGAGGGAAAGCCCAAGAACCAAATGATGGTGGTGATGGTGTGAGGGGAAATCCTTAAAGGTGGGAGTGCCAGGTATGTCGTGGTTGTTAGGGTCTGGTAGCATGAAGGAAGCCATGGCCTTGTATAGAGGCAATAACTATATCCACTTATCGGTTAGTCCAATTCCCAAGGCCTGCGGAGTTATAAACAATTTCAATGCTTTGTAAAGCGCAGTCCATTCAAAGTGTGTTATAGGCGACATCTGAGGTCATAAATGCACGATTACGACATTGCCTGTCTTGCACCTTTGTTCATTAATAGCTTACATCATTTTTAAAAATTCAAATCAAGATTTTAATTTGAGCTTTGAGTTCCTCAGGAAGCTCTCTTGTACTCAAGAGTGTCTGTTTGTGTGCCTCAAGCAACACCAACAACACCAACAACGGCAACAAACAGCGATCCACCGAGACTCAAGACGTTGGAAATCTCGAGGAAACAAATTCATACAGTCGTATTCTCCTATAAAGCTGTGGTAGTTGCGTTCCTGAAGAACATCGTGTCATGGAAAAATCGTGTTATAACAACTGTTGATTCAATGGGAATTAGGGGTTGTATTTATAACAGTGTTACAATTTTTTTTCTTCCTGGGTAGTAAGTATTATTTCCTAATTGCTTATGCCTCAAAATTACAGAAAATGGTTATTATTCCCCACAAACTTTGCTTTTGTGACCAGAACAGTGATATTGAGAAATTTACCTATTTTCCAGAACATTCCAGATAGATTCAGTGCTGAGTAAACTTCTCGAACATTCTAGAACTTTCCAATAATATAAATAGGAGTATAAATACTTTAAGCCCACCAGTAAAGTTTAGTTCCAGCTGCCTAAGTGGCTACATATCTGCATTTTTCTGAGATGACATCAAGAGGCTGCAAGCATCCGGCAAATGCATTTTGCTATGTCTGCGGCCAATTTATGAAGACGAGCGAAAAAGTACTCGGTAGAAGCATCTGCTAAGATGTGTGAGGCCTACAAGACATACTTTCGGCATGCCTGTCGGGGATCAAGACAGCCTGGGCACCTCATTTCGCCTGTGAGCAATGCAAAAAAAACGTCTGGAAGGTAAGATGGACAATTGTTGCTTGGAATTTAACGTAATAAAATGTAAAAAATTGTAAGTTTTTTTTACAATATCAATATCATATATGAAAATTTAGCGAGAATCTCTTACACATTACATGTGTTGCACACTCGAAATGAAGGACGTGGGCAGGTGCTCCAAATCGAGGGCAAGCACATTTATTTATTGTGGTTAATATTAATCTTGTGAAGAACAGCACCGTCACTCTGTAAAATGCAACAGCACGTGTTACACGCAGCAATTCTTCCGAGTCGCCATTAACCATGTGGCTGGTTTACACGTGCGGTTATTCAGTAACCCTGCCAGCCACCTACAGGCCCAACTCAGTCATCACATGCTGCTGTACACACATGCATTGATGCACTGCACAGCACATCAGGACTTTCACAGAACCACACTTTACTCCCTTGCTGCACAAGGACATAATTAAGAGTGATCTATTCCTAATGTGCCACACATGGGTGAAATAAATGTATTCTTGTAGGATGGTTACAGAGGGGATAAGAGAGCCATGAAGTTTGCTATCCGAAGAATTTGGTGGCAACCCACTGACCACTCAAGCAACTGATATACTTCTGCATGGTGGACCCTTCCAAACGTCGGACTGGCAAGAATGCACCTGCTATCACGTATCCGGACCTTCCTTCATTCATCGCCCCGGTGCCACACTGCCATGAGCTCCCCCTACCCACTCCTCCGGAGAGAGAGCAGCCGTCTTTAGAAGAGAGCAGCAAGTCAGAGCGAGGAAGACGTAGATCCAGATGAAAATTTCAGAGGTGGAGCTGAGGCGAGAAATGCATATTACCCCAACCAAAAAGACCTAAACGACTTGATCAGAGATCTTGGTCTCAATGCCGAGCTTTTGACGTCTAGGCTCAAGCAGTGGAACGTGTTGGATGAAAGTGTGCAAGTCGCAGATCAGAAGAAGCGTCACCAACCTTTTTGCAGCTTCTTCACCCGTCAAGATGGGCTCTGCTTCTGCCACAATGTGACCAGTCTGTTGAAGGCAATCGGAATCGCCTGTAACCAGAATGAGTGGTGCCTCTTAATTGACAGCTCATCCAGGAGCCTCAAAGCCGTGCTGCTCCATAATGATAACAAGTACCCGTCTCTTCCCCTGGCTCACTCAGTGCACTTCAAAGAGGATTACAACAGCATCATGACCTTGCTTGGACGCCTTGAAGTATGATGTGTATGGCTGGGAGGTCATCGGAGACTTCAAAATGGTGTCATTCCTGATGGGTCTCCAATGCGGTTTTACCAAGTTTCCATGCTATCTTTGCCTTTGGGACGGCAGGGACACCAAGGCGCACTACCACAGGCGGGACTGGCCACAGCGGACCGAGTTCTCTGTGGGTAGGAACAACGTCAAGTGGGAGCCACTGGTGGACTCCCGGAAGACGCTGATGCCACCACTGCACATCAAATTGGGCCTTAAACATTTCTAAGAGTAGTAGATAAGGAGTCTGCAGCCTTCAAGTACCTTCAAGACTTCTTCCCTAAGCTGTCTGAGGCCGGTGTCTTCATCGGACCAGAAGATAAAGAAGATCCTGGAGTGCAATGAATTCCCCAAGAAGCTCACTAGTAAGGAGAAAGCGGCTTGGAACAGCTTTGTCGGAGTGGTTCATGGCTTCCTGGGCAATCACAAGGTCAGATACTACATGGAGCTGGTTGAGATTCTTGTGAAGAACTACGGCACAATGGGCTGTAGGATGTCCCCCAAAGTCCATATCCTTGATGCTCATCTTGATAAATTCAAGGAGAACATGGGAGCGTACTCGGAGGAGCAAGGCGAGAGCTTCCACCAGGATATACTGGACTTTGAACGCCGCTACCAAGGACAGTATAACAAGAACATGATATGAGACTATATTTGGGGGCTGATTCGTGAAAGTGATTTACAGTATAATCAGGAATCTCGAAAAACTACTCGCTTCTAAATGTTTTGTAGTATTTTTTGTATTACTTTAGTATAAATACATGTTAATTTTGATTCATATGTTGTTTTTTTCTGACTTTGTGAACGGAAAGACAAATTCGCCCGTTTTCTCATGAAAATAGGTACATTTCTAAATATCACTGTCCTGATCACAAAAGCAACGTTTTTGGGGAATAATAGCCATTTTCTATACTTGTTAGGTATAAGCAATTATGAAATAATACTTATTACCCAGGAACAACAATTTTGTTACGTAGTGTAATCAACAAAGTTGTGTGCAAAGCGAGACTAATTATATTTGGTAAAGCAACAGTCTGCGATCACACGTGAGAGGCGTACGCAAGCTGAACAAAGACTGAGGCGCGTGGGTAGCATCTGGAAGCATCCAGCTGCATCCCGATGCCTTGTTCGATGATGCTACGCAGAGGCAGCTGCACAATTGCGTATTCCTACTCGGGCGACGTAGTTCACTCTGATTGCGTTATATCCAATTCGCATCTGCGTTATAAAAAATGCGTCCTCTCATACATTCATCGCGTTGTATCCAATATACGTTATGAAGAGAACACGGACCGTTACCGGCGTATTTTAGTAGCTACTTGTAGAGCATGGGGCGTTTATCTCTTTGGTGTTACCGCAGCTCGTTGTCCATGGAGGAGTTGAAGTTGGCGAAAGAAAGAGCGGCGGTGCAGGCGGACATGCCGGAGGGGCCATGTGGCGTAGAGGCTGCGGCTGTGTGGTGGTCGGGCCGAGCTCGCCGCGGCACGACGACGATGCCGACTCATGCCTTCGTCTCCTTCGTCAGGTCCCCCGCCTCCTTCTACCTGCAGCCCGACGAAGCGCTCGGAAATTTTCTACCCACGTGAGCATCACCGCTCTCCCCCTCGCCTCTGCGGTCGCTCAGCTCGTCTCCGTATGCGCGATGTTGCGTGGTCTCGTGTTTATTGTGTTTCTCTTTTTCCGAAACTAACGTCTATAAACTAAACTTTTCTTTTACAGGTAAGTACCCACTGAGCTATATATATAGCTCTTTTTCAGAAGTAAACTTGCTACAAATAATAGCTCAACAAAGGGGCTTATCATGTAGAAATTTATAGTAGCCAAATATTCTTAAGGCATCTTGAATCTAAATGTGGCTGGAAAAACCAGAGGACCCAGAGAAAAATCAACATGACCACGGAGGGAACATGCAAACTCCAAATATACAGCAGGCATCAGTATCGGGATGGAACCCACGACCTCCTGTATACCAAGCGAGCTAGTTAACATCTCGCAACCGTGGAACTATCCTGCCGACCACCGTCCAACATTCACAAGGTTCAGCAATTCCCTTCGTGGCCGCGCGGAACACGCTGCTGCAGATAATGTTTTAGAGGGCGTGCACACAGTACCCACAGTTCCCACAGTGTCCACCCCCTACCCACAAGCCTCATCCTTCCCTACTTCCTATCCACAAGCCTCACGCCTCACCACCCCCTACCCACAAGCCTCACATCTCACCACCCCCTACCCACAATCCTCACCCTTCCCTATCCCCTAACCACAGCCTCACTCATCCCCTACCCACAAGCATACAAGTGCCACTCGCGCAGGCGCCACGTGCACGGATGCCATGCAGGCAGGCCAAATACATAGCTGCAGTACTCAGGATTGCTTTATCAGATCCCCAGTAAGTCTGCGCTACGGCTAACATTGTAGATCGAGGCGCAGACAGCCGAGTTAAACGTTTGCTCTACATGGAGCGTTAATGGCCTGCCGCCATTCCGAACAAGTGGAAGCGTGCCGAGCAGCGTGGAAGCGTGCCGAGCAGCGTCAAAGCGAGCCGCCTTGAGTTGGGCGAGAACGTAGACAGCCCTGACCACGGAGACGTGGCTCGTTTGGATAACGCGACGACTCTCGGTCGCGAGATTTTACTTGATCGGCGTTGCGACTCGTTGGGGCCGCTCCGTGTCAATGACCCGCGGCGGTCTCGACTGTTGCCCAGCCCAGGACTCTGGGCCTCGATCTGCCATGCAGAGCCAACACCCTCCAAAACGTTGACCTGCAGCACGTTGTGTGGCCGCAAGGGAATTGCTGAATGTTACGAGTAACGTTGGACTGGTGGCCCGCGGAATGGACTAGAGAAACAAATTTTCTATTCATAAAAAAATTAATGGTATCTATTTGGTGTTTGAACATCTTAACACCTGTTTTATTGCCAGAAAGGGTTAAACCTATTCTTATTTTTTACACGCTTTTTATTAACTCACTCTATCGTTGTTGTTGTATCCTCAAATCTTTTAACTCAATTTTAACCCACTTCCCAATGTGGTATCGACTGCAAACTTGGTATACTTATGTCATACTGATGACAATACTATATTCTACCATAAAAAAATAAACATTATTTTTTATACATTATGTTTTGGCTTGGGTCTAATTGTCCACGGTAAACTGACGTTGGCTGTAATTGACCATGGTCCCTTACGTTATGGCAAGCTTTGGGGCCACTTCTTGGAGTCGTGGAGTTCTGCCATTACTCGTACATTTCATAAAAGCGTGTTTAAAAAAAAAATATTACTTAATATACTTCGATGCTGGAAAATAGGTCCCATGATAATTTTTTATTTTTGTTTCCACAAATGACCAAACTCCTCCCGAAGTCTTCGTAATAGCCGTGCTTCATTGCTTTGTGTAGCAGCGCCACCGTGTGGATGGAGCCTCGTAGCACTTGGACTGTGGCGTTTTTTAAATTGTGTGTGGACATTGCGTTGCGCCCTGTGTGTGTGCGAGGCGCGCAGGCTGAAGGAAGTGCTGGAGGAGCGATTTGGTGGGAAGCCGCGGCCGCTCGCTCAGGGCAGAGCGGCCGCTGCGCCGGCGTCTGGCGCCGATTTTGCCGAGGGCTCGCTGTGCGCTCTGTACAGCACAAACCACCACACCTGGGCCAGGGCCCGGATCCAAAGCCTCCGTCCTGATGGTCAGATTCAGGTCTGTTCCCATGGCCGAGTTGATGTTTACATTCACGCTGAGCAATGAGTTGATTGCAACCTAGAGATGTAAAGTAGCAGACAGGCCACTTCTGTCACCAGGTCTTTTAGCTGCGTTCCAACCAAGGTTTTTTCTATATTCTTTGGTTCTTCTGGTAAAGTCATGTAGGAAAAAATAAATCGCGACGTTTCGATTGCAACACAAGCAATCATTATCAGGTGGGAAAACCACAGCAAGAATTTTTTTGTTGAATTGGGAGAGAGATGCCGTGGCAAGAGGTGTTATATAGGTAAGAAAGGGGGAGGGGCAACGGGGGAGAGAGGGGGAGTTTGGGGTAGGGGGAGGGGAGCGCTGCGTGGATGCTAGGAGAGGGACGTGAAGCTGGACGGGGGAAATTGGGCGGGGTTGGAAGTGGGAGGCCGAGAGAGCTGGGGATGCGCGGGGGGGGGGGGGTTTAACTCGGAAAAAATTACCCCTAAAAACAAAGTTTTTCACTATAAATCCTTTATATGCGTGGCGGCTAGAGTCCTCTCGTCCTCTGGCTTGAGATGGCTGCCACCTATGGGTCAGATGATTGGCAGCATTAAGCAATTGGTAATTAAATATTTTACAAAAATTCCCTAAACAGTGTAAAAATTTGGAACAAAAATTTTCACGAAAATTAATTGTCACGCACAACGAGTCTGTGTGCAAAATGTCAGCTCGATTGGATCACGGGAAGTGGGTTAAAAAAACGACCGAAAGATTTGCACGGTCGTAAGCACGCAAGCACACAAGCAAGCAAGCGAACTTAATATAAAGGATTTAAAAATAGACTAGTACCCGGCAGATATAATAAAGACAACAACCATAAAGCAGTTAGGGTTTTACCTGGTTAATAACACCCAATGATTGCTCAATTTATAGCCATCTTCTTGGTTGAAGTTATGTCTGTTTATATATCTGGATGGCTTCATGAACAAACCTTTGATAGTAGCCCGAAGGTTTGCAGAGTACCTTGGTCTCGGAAAAAAACAATATCATGCGAGCCCACAGCGTTATAACAATGGTCAGCTATGGCAGAGGTATTGGTTCTGCCGTGTTTCAGATCTGCCTTGTGTTCGCAGACACGGTCCGAGACATGTTATGTTTCCCCGATGTAACTGCTGCCGCAGGTACAACTCAGTTTGTAAACTCCAGGATATTGCATGTCAGAAATGACATCCTTCACAGATGGGATTAGATCACAGATTTTGTGTACTGTATTGAATCGAACCTGGATCTTGTGTTTGTTTAAGATTTTGGATAAAAAATTTGTAACACCTGCTATGTATGGTTACATGATGGTTTTGATTGGCTTCTTAGGGGGTTGTTTCTCTATGGTTGGAGAAACAGCTTTGCAAATTATGCGGTCCCAGTACCAATTCATCTTGAGGGCTTGGTGTACGTGTTCCAGTTCACTGCCTAGGTGGTGTTGGTCGGAAATGCAGTGGGCCCTATGGTGTAGTGCTTTGATGAGGGAATTCTTCTGTGCCGGATGGTGGTGGGAATCAGGTTTCAGATAGGAATCTTGTGGGTGGATATCCTGTAGACAGTGTCCCAACGAGCCGTCAGGTCTCTTTAACAAAACATCCAGGAAAGGTAGCTTACCATCCACAAAAGTGTAATCTACATATCTCTTCCACAAGGAAGGACGTAGGGTGGATGTCTGGATGGCATCTGTTTCAAATTTATCCATGTAAACATTTGCTATCTCCGGTGATAAGGGGGAACCCATGGGGGTACCTTCATTTTGTTTGTAGAAAGTACCATTCCAGGTACAGTAAGTGTTGGTAAGGCAGTGCCTAACCAGAGTAGGTCAATCAGGATTCAGTCCATGTTGGACTAAGTTTTCTATTATTGCTAAGGTGTCAGGTACAGGAACCTTGGTGAACAGAGAAACTACATCAAAGCTGACAAACAAAGCATCTGGTGACAGTGAAATGCCCTTGATTAGAGAGATGAAGTGAGCTGAGTTACATACTGCTGAGGTAGTCCTGCCCGTGAATGGAAGCAAGGTGTCAGACAGAAACCAGGCCAGTTTGTAGGTAGGTGAGTGGATAGTGGAAACGATGGGCTGAAGTGGAGAGTACCTTCTTTATGGAGTTTAGGAAGACCATAGAATCTGGGTGGTCTAGTAGCAGAAGGTTTTAGGGAGAGCCGTTTGAATGGTTCGATTAGAGAAGTCGAACTGGTAGTGATATTGTTGGTTTTTGTAGCCAGGCGGTTAGTAGGATCTTTGTTGATTTTGGTGTAACTGCCATCATTAAGAAGGTCCTGTATTTTGTTGTTGTATGTGCTTTTATCCATGATGACAGTAGCATTGTCCTTGTCGGCCGAGAGGATGACTGTCATCTCTCTTTTTCAATTTTGCGAATTCAGAGCGCTCGTCTTTGCTGATGTTACTAATGGGTTTCTTAGCATTTTTAAGGATGATGGCAATTTCAGATCTAGCAACGTCTGTCACGATGTGTCCCCAAGCCTTTTGAGGGCGACGTCGACCTGGGCGATTATATCATCCACTGGGATATATTTAGGGGTGACTGCGAAATTCAACCATTTAGCTAGTACCGATTTTAGGCTGTCGGAAATTGGGAACATCTAACTTTTTAACGTGTGGCTCTGGATTCTTTTTGACAGGAGGTTGAATTTAGCTATCAAATTAATTTTACATTTGGTTGACATTGAATTAGCAGAGGAGACTGTCATGTTATCTACATGGTCCTAATCAGAAGTCGACATTTTATCTGTTAAATTTAAGTGTGATTGTAAGAGAGTCTTGTCTAAATGATCAAGTTCAAATCGGAGCAATCTTATTCTCTCTGAGATTAGCGATAGGCTGGCTTTAAACAAGATCCGTTTAGCGTTGGGAGAAGTGACAGCAGCAGATGTCAGTGTAAATGCGATCGGTATTACCTTAGTGTTGCGGCATCTCTTGAGAAAGGTTAGCGACTCGATCAGGTGAGCCTTCTTGTTTCGTAGTCTGTTAATAGCTCTAACAGATGTGTGAAAACCCTCCCCGTAGAGGCGGTCCAATATAGATTTGAAGCTTTCGTGACTGCAGGAATCCATACTCTTTGGTTCTTTCGGTAAAGTCATGTAGGTATAATATAAAATAAATCACGACGTTTCGATTGCTTGTGTTGCTTGTGTTGCAATCGAAACGTAGTGATTTATTTTATTTTATACCTACGTGACTTTACCGAAAGAACCAAAGAGTATGGATTCCTGCAGTCATGAAAGCTTCAAATCAAGGTTTTTTTCTGTTCCCGCACCTCCAATTAGCACAGTTGGCTACGTACGTTGCGAAAGAAGTTCAACATATATATTTGTAAGCTTGTTTACCCCAGGAAGGCCTGAGTTGAGTCAAGACTCAGTATAACACATAGGCTTTCACAACCATTATCCATATTAGAGGTTTTTGATTTAGATCACGTAAATAAAAATGTGTTAAATCTGCCACCACGTGACATAGCTAATCAGTAAGGTTTGTCACGTAATCAAACGTGCAAATTCATTACTAGTTCAGCACATTGGTGTGTTTTGAGAGTAAACCCCCAACATTTACAATTTGAGTACAACGTTTTGTCAGTTATTTCAACTCACAGCAACAGGCGATAGCTGGGGTTGTTGAGAAATCTACCTGCTTCGCTCTTAGATAAATGTGATGTCGTCACTTGAGGCAATCAGGCACGAAGGCCAGAGGGGGGGGGGGGTTAATAAAAATTACAATGGATATCCAATACCGGTTGGGTTATTCATAGGATAATCAACGTACATTATATGTTCACATTATGCATGCACACCTTGCATGTCCATCCTGCCGTTTTTGGGTGCAAGAAATACTTTTTTTTATGATTCCAGCGTTCAGATAGTTGGCCAGTACCAGTTACGTTGCCATGGCGTGTTGTAGGCTGAAGCATTCACGCATCACCTCTGTGCGACCAACTGTCCGTCTGCCCTTCTCGCTATGGTGGGGATCATATTCTTAGGTTTTTTTGGTAAAGTCACGTAGGTAAAAAATTAAAATTAATAAAAGTAAAATAAAAATAAAAATCACGACGTTTCGGAGGCAACACAAGCTTCCGTCTTCAGGTGGAACCGTCACAGCACGATAGCTGTATCAAGTAAATGAGAGATTACAAGAGATACCACTCCGTATATATAATGGTTGAGGGGGGGGGGATGGGCCAGGAACGGCCCACTTTTTATTATTATGGTAAGGTGCGGCTTGAGACTACGACTAGACTACATAACAAATGACTGAGCCTTTATTATGGTGAGGTGCGGCCTGAGACTACGGCTAGCCTACATAACAAAATGCTGCAAATGAGACCGAGCCTCTGCCATGTAGATGGTAAAAGCACAAAAGCAGGTCAGGAAGAAACAGCCTCCTGCTATGTTGTTTGGTGGGTAAAACTTATAGCAGGAAACCAGTGTGAAAAAAGAAGTGAAACCTGGTGAAACAAAACTGGCTGTCTATCAGTAACCTGTACAGTAACTCAAGAATAGTTGTCTGTCAAATAAGATGTTCCAAATAAGTGTAGTTAAATCTTTTTTGCATGGTTAATCACATCTTTCCAATGATTACTCAGTTTGTAACCATCATCACGGTTGAAATTATGTCTGTGTTTGTATATTTGTATGGCTTAGTGTACAAACCTTTGATGGTAGCCAGGAGGTTTGCAGAGCACCTTGGTCTCGGAAAAGACAATTTCATGAGAGTCCACAGAGTTGTAGCAATGCTCGGCAACGGCCGAAGAATCAGTTCTGCCGTGTTTCAGATCTGATTTGTGCTCGCCGACACGATCAGAGACATGACGTTTCGTTTATCCAATGTAGCAATCACCACAACTGCAACTCAGTTTGTAGACTCCAGGATACTGTAAGTCAGGAACGACATCCTTCACAGATGGAATCAGATCACAGATTTTATGCACTGTACTGAATTGGACTTGGATCTTATGTTTGTTTAGAATTTTGGAGATCTTTTTGGTCACGCCTGCTATGTATGGTAACGTGATAGTTTTGGTTGGAGTTTCATGTGGCTGTTTCTGTATGGTGGGAGAAACAGCTTGGCGGATGGTGCGGTCAGAGTATCCTTTCATCCTGAGGGCCCGATGTACATGTCTTAATTCACCGGCCAGGTGGTGTTGGTCAGAAATGCCATGAGCTCTGTGGTATAGCGTTTTGATGAGAGCATTCTTTTGAGATGGGTGGTGGTGGGAATCCGGTTTCAAGTAGGAATCTGTGTGGTTGGCTTTCCTGTAGACAGAATGTCCCAAGGATCCGTCAGGTCTCCTCTCAAACAGAATATCTAAGAATGGTAGTTTACCATCTTTCTCCGCTTCCATGGTGAATCTGATGGATGGGTGTCTGGAATTGATGTGGTCCAGGAAGTGGTTCAATGCTGGGAGGCCATGTGGCCAAATGACGAAAGTGTCATCCACATACCTCTTCCACAGGGAATGGCGCAGGGTGGATGTCTGGATGGCGTCTGATTCAAACTTTTCCATGAACATGTTGGCTATCACTGGTGACAAGGGGGATCCCATAGAGGTACCCTCATTCTATTTGTAGAAGGTGCCATTCCAGGTAAAATAGGTGTTGGTGAGGCAATGCCTAACCAGCGCAGGTACATCAGAATTCAATCCATGTTGGACCAAGTCCTCAATTATTGTTAGGGTGTCCGGTACTGGGACTTTGGTAAACAGAGATACTACATCAAAACTGACGAGGATGTCATCCGGAGATAGTACCATGTCCTTAACCATAGAGACTAATTGGGTTGAGTTGAGTACTGCCGAAGAGGTCTTGCCTGTGAAGGGGAGCAGAGTATCTGATAGAAACGGGCTAGTTTGTAGGTAGGAGAGTTTATCGTCGACACGATGGGTCGTAGCGGGGTGCCTTCTTTATGGATCTTGGGAAGACCATAGAGTCTGGGAGGTCTTGCCGCCGATGGTTTTAGAGAGGGACGTTTGGTTGGTTCGATTAGGGAAGTTGAACTCGTGATGATTTTGTTGGTTTTTGTCGTTAGGTTATTAGTGACGGTTCCACCTGAAAACGGAAGCTTGTGTTGCCTCCGAAACGTCGTGATTTTTATTTTATTTTTATTTTACTTTTATTAATTTTAATTTTTTACCTACGTGACTTTACCGAAAAAACCTAAGAATATGAATCCTTGCAGTCACGAAAGCTTCAAATCTAGAATTAATGCCCTCTATGGGGAGGAATTCCACCTATCTGTTAGTTTTTAACAGACAACGAGACAAGAAGTCACAGCTTAATTTCAAAATCGTGGATAATCCAAAATATTAATCTTCCATGGATCTCTATGCCAAAACCCACTAAAGTATAGGGGTATAAGTTATGTTTAAGTTAAGAAAATGTAGTTTGTTAATGAATAAAACTAAATTTGTAGAACTCACAATCGATCGATGCGCGTGCTCAATGATAACAATTACCTGCTCCTGCGCAGACGACACGGCCCACAAAGGGGCCAGCAGCAGAGCCACGTCAATCAATATCGATCAGTGCAATGGACAGTTTTAGGTAGTTGCATTTACTGAGCTGACCATGGTGGAGGCACGTGCCTGTAAACTCATGGGGTTGAGAGGTGGTAGTATGGAAAGTTGGGGCACGTGATTTGTTAGTGTGGCCCTGTAAATGTTGTCCCCTTGTGCTCGTGGGCTTTCGCTCATTACTCAGTGCTGCAAAGCAGTGGCAATGGGAGCCAAGTGCAGTAGACTTGATTATCCGCGCTAATCAGGGGAGGACTTCTGCAGATAATTCAAAATCGCGGATATCCAAAAATCTCCATTTTCTGTGGATTTCTATGCCACAAAATAAATTAGTGGGTAAATCACTCAATCAAGCACAATTGACAATTTCAATTGCTACTCTTTCGATTTAAAATGAATACTAACGATCGACCGACCGATGATGCTGCGTGCTCAGTAACAACTTTCCTGCTTCTGCGCAGAAGACTCGGCCTACTAAGTGGACAGCAGCAGAGCCATGCCAATCACCATCAATCACACTCCACCCACTGTTGTAAAGATCTGCAACTACTGTACTGTAGAGGCGATCACGTGGGTTTTGGATTAACCGGAGCAACATATTTGCACGGTTTAAGCACGTGACTTATAATTAACATTTCCAAGAATAACAATGTAGAAATGTTTTTAGATTATTTATTTGGGTTTCAGGGAAAATCAAAATCTCAGGTGCGTGGTTAATCCGTAAATCGGATAATCGACAACTGTATATTAGCCTCCTTTTAGCCATTGTGTGACTTAACATACTTGGCAGATGACGTTGCGTGGAGACATCGGGCGACACCAGGGCAGGACCCAAGTCACTCATCCATCATCTTCATCAGCCATGATCTATCCGCTGATGGATAATAACCAAAAAACGACACCTCTCTAATGTGGGTTTGTCATCTAATCCACACTTTCCTCTTCTGCATCTTTCCCAGCAGGCATTTCTCTCTGCGCTTTCACAATCTGCGCTCTGCTCTATCCCCAGCTGCATTAGAGCTCAATGCGATTTGTCCAACTTGCGTTCCCCCCTCCAATCCACACCTTTTCCTCTCTCTGTCTTATCCTTGTTCCGAGCGTGCATCTCTGTTTTTATCATCATGATTATCATCACTGCTGCGTAAAGCTCAAATTTGTGTCTCTAATTTGCCCGTGTTGTGTAATCTACTCTGTACCTTTGTCTGTGTCTCAGTGTAATTTCCAGCATCCCATCTCTCCACGCCACTGTGAACAGCTGTCTCTTTTCTTGCACTCTCCGTTTTCATTTGTTGTCCACGTTTCTGATTTCCATGTGTCATTGCGACAGTGGGTACCCATCACAGTGCATAGTCTGCCTGGGTGAGGTATGGTGCAGGGTTTATAACGTAGGAGGCTTTCGCTCCAATGTTGTCCATAAGAGAAGTTGATTTATTATTTTGGGTTGGATCGCGTAGATCTAAATGTGTCGTTAAACCTGCCATCCCACACAACACTGCCAATTAGTCAGGTTTGTTACGTTAACAAAATGTGCCAAATTCAGTACACACGGTGTGTATTTGTAATGCGAGCAAGGATTGAGGGGGGGCGGAGTCTGGGTCACGTGGGGAGTGGGTGGAGTTAGGGTCACGTGGGAGAGAGGATTTAGGGGGAGAACCGGAAGGGAAAAGGGGAGTTGAGACGGAGTGAAACAGGAGGAGACCACGCTGGGCAGGACGGAGAGAGTGGCGCGGTCGCCACGCGGTGGGAGACGTCGACACCGTCAGCCATCGGTGTCAGACGCAGAGAGCTCGCAGCTGTGGGAGGCTAGCTGTGTACGGGGCAGCAGTGAAGCTAGAGAGCGGAGCAGCGTTGTGGCTGCAAGGTGGAGCAGCAGGGAGACTGCATATCGGAGCAGCAGGGAGACTGCATATCGGCGCAGGAGGGAGACTGCATATCGGCGCAGGAGGGAGACTGCATATCGGAGCAGCCGAGTGGCTGTGGAGAGATCGTCGGGAGGGACGCGGGCCTGAGCGAGGACGCCGTGGTAACGAGATTCTACGAACCCAATAAAGGACAACGGAGATCGACATCTGAGAGAGAGTCCTTTATTACATATTGGAGAGAAAACCGACAACATTTACAAATCAAGTACCGTGACGTACCGACAGTAATTACACATCAACCTTCATCAAGTTGTTTACGTAACAAACCTTACTAATTGGCTGTGTCGGGTGGTGGCGGGTTTGATGACACATTAATTTTCACGCGATCCAACCCAACAAAAACCTCTTTTGGATGGTATTGCGTCATGAAACTACTACTACGTGTTAAAAGGCGCTAGGCCACTACCGTACGACACAGTCTCAGCAGCTGTGACGCCATTTACAATGCATTACCCAGGGTCGCAGCTCGAGACTGACGCAGAGTCACAGGAGGTGAGAGTCTTGGCTGGCTTTCTCCGAGTCCCCAGCTTCCTCACCAGTGCCCGTGTCTGCTGCTCGGTCTCAGGGCAGCTTGGTCTGCGTGCTGCTGTTCTGACCCGGGATCGCAGCGGCACACAACGTGAGGCAGGCACGGGGCCACACCCCAGTCTCTGATGTGCAGGGTATTCACTAAACTCTGAAGAGAATATTTAGTGAAGTAAATAAATTCTGTGCTGGCATCTTAGAGATCCTCCTTCACTCACTGCTGCTGTTTCGGCTCCTGCTCGCTCCTCATCTGAGCTGCCTTTTCATCGGGGTTGCCTCACACCCCTTTGTCTTCGCTCTGGACTAGGCGGGGCCTCCTGACACTCGGCCAAAACCTAAAATGACCACTTGTGGTTCTTGGGCAAATACAGAGAGGGTGTTTTTCGTTGTTTGTGTCTCTCTACAGTAAGTGTGGCTTTACTATTGAGTAGTGAGGCTTATGGGTAGAGAGGGAATTGCTACATGTTGAGCTTAATGTCGGAGCAGTGGGGGGTGGGCATGGACGAGAGAAACAACTTTACCAGGTTCAAAACTTTATTTCATGATAACATTACATTTGGGAGCAGAAACCGAAAGAGACTGCAAACGAGACGGTCAAAGCAAGATGAGAGACTGCATTATTTTCCATCGACGCATGACCCACTTGTTGTGATCATTCCTAAAATCGGGGAGGGTGGGGTGGATGGATGGAGGCGCCCGTTGCGAATTGTGAATCGCCACGCTTCTTGCCGACACTCCACCTGGGCTCCTCGCTCAAACGACTGACTAATTAACTAACTTGACTGACTAACTTGACACACCTGCGTGTGGTTTGTCACACCGCCCGGTCTCCGTGTGCAGGTGCTGCTGCTCGACTACGGAGACGCGGCGGTGGTGGCGCCGAGCGAGCTGCGCCCCATAGACGCGGCGTGCAGCCGCTACCCCGCCATGGCGGTGCACTGCTGCCTCGCTCGCTTGACGTAAGCGCTCCCACACAACCCGCGTTCACACTGCCGCGGCAGAAGTGCGCGCGTGTGTGAACGATGTAACATGTTATAACCCTTTCCTTTCACACGTTGGCAATTTGCCTGAAGCCGGCCTGTCCGCATGGCCAGAAACATGGTCTTGTGATTTTCCTGAAGGTTTCATGAATCTCATCTCCATCCAATCATCTCCCCCCGTGGATTTGCTTGATTCATGTGTAGAGGAGTAGTGGAGAGTGGTGGCGTCGTGTGCGCTGTCAGGTGCGGTGACCTCACGGGACGTGGGGTCGCACGCGCTGGGCAGTGCACGCGACATCACCCCTCCGAGGGTATATAAGGGAGACCCCGTAACGTAAGCGGGGTCACTATAGGAACGGGGATAGTAAACAGGGTGAAGAGGGAACCAGGGATAGTGAGAGGGATCAAATAGGGAGTCTGGGGAGAAGCCGGTGGTAGCCGAAGAGGTGCTTCTCTCTCCGGTCGGTGGAGTCGGCAGACTCCACGATCCGACACGAGAGAGAGACCGGAGCTAGCCGGCAGGGACCCAGACTCAGAGTAGGACCCCTAGCCCCTGGGAGTTGTGTACCCTGTGTAGTTTTGACCAAGAGTAATAAACCCTGGCGGAAGCCCCTAACCATACCTCCGTCTCCGAGTACGTCCGTCGGTAGCTTCTCTACAACTGGTGTCAGAGTGTCTGCACTGCTGCTACAATGTTTACATCGGGAGCGGAGCGCAAGAACCCAGCGACGGGACGATCGGAGGATGAAGACGGCGGGGAGGAGGCTTCGGCAGTGACCCCGGAGTCCGGGGCTCCGGTGACAGGCCCCGAGAAGACGACGGGCGGGGGTGCCAGCTCGCCGCCACCACCGCTGGAGACAGGGAGCACCCCTGCAGACCTGCTGAGGCAGCTCCTGCAGGCGATCGCGCAGCTCTGCGCCCGTCTCGACATCGCGGAGGCGAAGTTGGGTCCTCCCGGTCCGCACTCGGGATGGGAGCAACTGTCAACTGCCGGGACGCCGCGAGAGGCGGCCGCCATCTTCGCCGCGACGCCCCAGCTGGCTATTTTGCCTGCGACGTCGCCAGCGGCGGCCATGTTGGTTGGGGCGCCTCAGGCGGCCGCCATTTTAACTGCGACGCTGCAGGTGGCGGCCATTGTTCATGCGACGCCGCACGTCGGCGCCATGGCTGCCATGGCAACTGCGACGCCGTTGTCCACCGTGGGTGCCGCCGCGACTTCGTGCCACACCGCGCGCGCGGGGTCTGCCAGCGGCGATGCCACAGCTCCGCACCATGCTGCGCCCGCCGGGGGAGCCCCAGGTACGTCCGGGGCTCCACACCTCGCCGCACCACGGGAGTTGCCGAGGGTGCCGCCGTGGTTCCGGCCATCGCCGCGCTGGCGGGGTACGCTGCGGGTGTCGCCGTGGCCCCGTGCATCGCTGCCGCGGCTCCTCACGATGCCGCGCCGCGGAAGTTGCCGCGGTTCCGAGCATCGCCGTGCCTGCGGGGTTTGGCGCGCCCGCCACCGCGGCTGCTATAGTTGCCGCGGCCGCGGGGTGGGCCGAGGGTCACGCCGGGGCACCGCACCTCGCTGTGCATGCGGGGTTTGCCGCCGGCGACGCCGCACCAGGCTGCTATTTTACCTGCAGCGATCGCGGTGGGGGCCGCCGGCGACGACGCGGCCCCGCACCTCGCGGTGCCTGGGCGTTGCCATGCCGACGCCGCGGCTCTGCATCTTGCCGCGGCATGGGCAGCAGGAGCCGCCGCTCGGGCCGGCGCGCGCCTGGCAGGAGCTGCGTTGGGCTGCTGGGCTGCTGCGGCTCTCCCGGGGCCTGTCACTAGCTGGCACGGTGCCTGCCCTGGCGATTCGTGCCACATGGGGAGGCGTGCGCTCTGTTGATGGCCTGTGGAAACGCTGCCGTCGGCCTCCAGCCCTCATCGCTCAATTGTGTTATGTTGGCGTGTTTTGTCTAAGACTGCCCAATTGTCCGTTTTGGTGTGTTTTGTCTGGGCTGCTCAATTGTTCAATTGTTGTTTGTTGGTGTGTGTTGTCTGGGCCATCGGGATTCCGCCTTTGTATTGATGGCAGCGCGTGATGAGAGTTTCAAAGTTTTGAAATTTGATTGATTGTTGTCATGCTGCCTGGATGTTGTCGGTTGGTTGTGAATATGTTGGTTTGTGGTTCTGGGACTCCTCTACTTTTATATTGTTTACAGCCGAGTCGGCTGAATTTTTTTCACAGGGGGGGGTGATGTAGAGGAGTAGTGGAGAGTGGTGGCGTCGTGTGCGCTGTCAGGTGCGGTGACCTCACGGGACGTGGGGTCGCACGCGCTGGGCAGTGCACGCGACATCACCCCTCCGAGGGTATATAAGGGAGACCCCGTAACGTAAGCGGGGTCACTATAGGAACGGGGATAGTAAACAGGGTGAAGAGGGAACCAGGGATAGTGAGAGGGATCAAATAGGGAGTCTGGGGAGAAGCCGGTGGTAGCCGAAGAGGTGCTTCTCTCTCCGGTCGGTGGAGTCGGCAGACTCCACGATCCGACACGAGAGAGAGACCGGAGCTAGCCGGCAGGGACCCAGACTCAGAGTAGGACCCCTAGCCCCTGGGAGTTGTGTACCCTGTGTAGTTTTGACCAAGAGTAATAAACCCTGGCGGAAGCCCCTAACCATACCTCCGTCTCCGAGTACGTCCGTCGGTAGCTTCTCTACACATGGATGTCGTCTTTAAACGCTTTACGTTGGTCCTTCTCCCTCGAGTGCCAGTCGTCGGCTCGTTACGAGAATGTAGCATGGGGGGGTGGCATGCAGTCTCAGTCTCTATCCTCCCTGGGAGTGCTGCACTTAATTATTTCATCCAGAGTGCTGGACAAATCAGAAGCAGTCTATTTTTATTGACTTTTTAAACTCAGCCTTTAAAAAATGAAAGTATTCAAATTTTGACTTAAAACTTTCGTGACTGCAGGAATTCATATTCTATGGTTCTTTTGGTTAAGTCATGTAGATAGAAAAAATAATAACAATAAAATAATAAAAATGAAAATAAAGTGAATAAAAAAATAAAAAAAATATCACGAGTTTATGATCGCAACACAAAGCAATCCTCATCAGGAGAAAAAGAGGGGGAAAGCTGCTGATGCAGGCTGTTTATAAAGGTTTAGAGATGGGAGGGGCAGCTAATGTTAATATAGGAGAGGTCTCCGACACGGGCAGTAGGTCTACCCCAACAAAGCATTGCACCTCGCTCCACACACCCACACTGCTGGCGGTGGAGGTGGACAAAAAAACACAAATCAAGTCATGACCCAAAGTGGTTGATGACATCTTTCCAATGATTGCTGAGTTTAAAACCGTTGTCTCGGTTGAAATTGTGTCTGTGTCTATATATATGGATGGCTTCGTGAACGCATCTTTGTTGATTATCTGTTTTGCGGATTAACTGCGCATCTGAGATTTTTACATTAATTAATAACTCGTGGATTTTCTTATTCTATGGTTCTTTCGGTAAAGTCATGTAGATAGAAAAAATAACAAAAGAATAACAATAAAATAAGAAATGTTTTTTTCTTTTATTGATATTTTTTCTATCTATGTGACTTTACCGAAAGAACCATAGAATATAAAGTATTTAACGTTGCGTTTTTGTAATACATAGTAGTGTATGCCACGGTAAAAAAAAGTCTCTTTTCTGTAGTGTTTTTTTGTAAACTGTGAATTTAAGTATGAATTATTGCAGTCACAAAAGCTTTAAGTCAAGATTTAATTTATGTACTGTTTACATACCTGCAAGTGTGTCTTGTAATCAATGAGTGGTAGTTTCAGGTGATTGCGTTTACGAAGTTGACCTCCGTGGTGGTAGTGCGTGCCTGTAAACTCACGGGGCTGAGAGGTGGCAGTATGGCAAGTTGGTGTACGTCACTTGTCTACGGCCCTGTGAATGTCGTCCCCTTGTGCTCGTGGGCTTTCGCTCGTTTCTCAGTGCCACGAAGCAGTGGCAACGGTGGGAGTGTCAGGTGCAGTCGACTCTCCATTACCCTCGCTATTGATGAGGAGGACGGCCGCGGACAATTCAAAATTGCAGATGATTCCAAAATAAAAATTTTCAGTGCATCTGTGCCACAAACTAAATTATCGGATAAATCACTCAAAATGAAGCACAACTTACGATTTCGATTATTATTCTTGCGATTTAGAACGAATCCTAATGCTCGATCATTAGTATTCGACGGCCTTGCTCAGTGATAGCACTTCGCTGCCCCCACACAGAAGACTCAGCTCACGAAGTGGACAGCTGCAGAGCCACGCCAATCAACGTCAATTAAACTCCCACCCACTGTTGTAAACGTCTGCAACTACCGTATTTTTCCGCATATAACCCGCGGGGTATACCACAAGACCCTGCAGGGTATATGGAGGTGCGGGCTATCCCAAAAATAGTTTACAAAACTTTGTACAGTAAAACACACGCGTGGGGAGAGGTGGGGGGTGGGGCAGCTGGGGGGGGAGAGGTGGGGGGTGGGGCAGCTGGGGGAGAGAGAGGTGGGGGGTGGGGCAGCTGGGGGGAGAGAGGTGGGGGGGTGGGGCAGCTGGGGGGGGGAGAGGTGGGGAGTGGGGCAGCTGGGGGGGAGAGAGGTGGGGGGTGGGGCAGCTGGGGGGGGGAGAGGTGGGGGGTGGGGCAGCTGGGGGGAGAGAGGTGGGGGGTGGGGCAGCTGGGGGGAGAGAGGTGGGGGGTGGGGCAGCTGGGGGGGGGAGAGGTGGGGGGTGGGGCAGCTGGGGGGGGGAGAGGTGGGGGGTGGGGCAGCTGGGGGGAGAGAGGTGGGGGGTGGGGCAGCTGGGGGGGGGAGAGGTGGGGGGTGGGGCAGCTGGGGGGAGAGAGGTGGGGGGTGGGGCAGCTGGGGGGGAGAGAGGTGGGGGGTGGGGCAGCTGGGGGGGGAGAGGTGGGGGGTGGGGCAGCTGGGGGGGGGGGGAGGTGGGGGGTGGGGCAGCTGGGGGGGGGGAGAGGTGGGGGGAGAGGTGGGGGGTGGGGCAGCTGGGGGGGGGGGGAGGTGGGGGGTGGGGCAGCTGGGGGGGGGGGAGAGGTGGGGGGAGAGGTGGGGGGGTGGGGCAGCTGGGGGGGGGGGAGAGGT